AGAGCCCGTTCAGGTTTCCCTTGATCCGACACCATCGAACCTTGGGGTTCTTTCGCTCACCTGTTTCAGAGGCTTTGCGCCCACTTGATCTGCAGGATGCTGCAAACTCGTAGACGCTGTGGGGCCTGCCGATTCAAGACTTCGAGAATCAAGAGAGCTTCCGAAGATAACCCTGAAGTTCAAGAGCACCCCTCAGGTTGTTCTTCAATAGTGTTTAGGCTTCGAGGTTTCGGGCTGAGGGCCAGGGACACGAGGTTTTAGGCTTCCTGGGTTTGAGGCTCTAGGTTTGGTGTTGAGTGTTTCCGGGTTTTGAGTTCAGGGTTTCAAAGATTCGCGATACAGCGGCAGATTGCCTTGCAAGCTGTGTAGAGCCCCCGAAAGTTCAGGTAAAAAAGCAGCTCAGGGCTCGAATTTAGAATTCCAGCCGATTTGCTTGGGCACTTGACCCGACGGCGCCTTTCGTCTACGCAATCCCGGGCTTCCTGTATTGATTTTGCCGCCACCCCAAGCAGAAGCACGCTGTGGACCCTGCAATCCAGGCCCCCATGATAGCCCATTCGGCCCTGCATGCTTGTAGCAGCACGCCCATTCCGAAGACGGACACGCATTGTGCAAAAAGCCAAACGTCTAAATTAAACCTTCAAACGCACGGGATCGTCGAAAAACATCTCCAGTTCCCAGACACCTGCAAATCTTGCGGGTGGCGGCAGGTTTCGGGCTGCATTCGCCTCCCACGCCCGTAGTCCGGGTGCATAGGGACCCTGGGCCCATGTGGAGCTTAATGTAAACCATGGCTGTTGTTTCTTCCCTCAATTTGGGCCAGCGCTCATCAACTTTGTGTGTTGTCTTCAGGAGTCTCTCATGGACTGCAGGAGCCCATCCATGCTCCGAGCCCAGAGAAATAAAAGAGATAAAAGAGAGATCAGCTCAAAAATTCCCTTCTCAGAGAAACTGCGCGTGCGCCGCCGGCCAGTCCTGACAGGTGGAGTGTTTTGGGCTTCCTGATATGAGTGTAGTTTTGAAGTTGAGGTTTTCAAGTTCAGCAGTTAGGCCCTAATGTTTAACCTTCAAGCTGTTGAGCATGTATGACTGTATGACAGATCACTTCCAAAGTTCTTGATGCTGGTATGTCTGCTTTTGCTGTTGCTGACTCGGCACCCGTAAGATCTCTCTTTAAGCCCTATCCCAGAATGCTCGAAGGGCTTAGAGGTCTAGGGTTTAAGGTTTTAGGCAAGCCGTAATGCACAGGGTGCAATTTGCATGCCTTTCAGAACCCGAATGCAATAAACACAAACTCCAAACCCTTGCACGCAGCGCCACGCCCTAGGCCCTCAACCCTGCACCCTAAAGAAGCCTTGCAGGGAACAGACCCACCCGAAACCCGAAAGCCTGAAGCTGTACTTATGCCTCAGGGGTAGGTTGCAGGACAACCGGCATGCCGCCGAAGCAGCTCTGAGCACTTTCAGCAGATGTCGCTCGGACATCCTCCACGCAGCGGTCGTTTGGGGATTTGAAGACCTTTGGTTTAGGGTTTGGCAGCGCGTGGTTCAGGGTTGATGGTTCGAAGCTTGTGTCGGTATGGTTGCGCTAGACCCACTAAACCCACAGCATCTATATGCTTGCAGATCCTTCAGGGTTCAGGGTCTGAGACCCTGAGTGTTGCCATAACATGGATGCTGCATCGGAGTATCCTGCCTCTCAATGCCTTTAGGAGGGTTTAGGGTTCAGGTTCGAGGAGTCCAAGCTTATTGACGACTGAAGCTACTGTATTTGCTTTCAGGCGTGTGAGGCCGAGGGAGTCAGCAAAACAGCGGCTGAGCAATGTCGTTCTGCAGCAGTGCCGCCAAAAAGCGCGTCTAGAGTGTGGGCTTTGTGGCTGGAGGTGCGGGGTTTCTATATACATAATTTCTGAGGAGACAGAATATCACTGAGCTTTTCTTGAATGTCGAAGAGGATTGTGCCCTTCATGACTTAATTACTCAAAAAGAATGGAAGAAATGTGGAGGAGAGTCCCGTAAATTTTTGATATTTCGGTTACAGACGTATTAGCAAGCATAGCTCACTAACAGTCTACTTCGCGAACTTCTCTGCGAGTGTTTATAACATATTGTTCGCTACGAATTAGTTTGTGAACGTTGCTACTGGAATGGTTCTTGGGTGTGCAGGGCTTGGACTTCTAGATGCTCTGTTGCTGTTTGAGGGTCTACGCCGGCAGAATTATTGGCCCTGCCTGTGACTGCTTGTGAGCGCTACTGTAGCTTCAAGGTAATTGCTATGTCCTTTTTCTTGGGTAGGGCGGGCCACTTGTGCCTTGGTTGAAAGCATCAGCGGCAGTCCCACAGGTTGATGTTCAGTGTCACGCGACGAAGACGAACCTTTCGTAGCAGTCGTAGCAGTATCAGTAGCAGAAGCCGTAGCTGTAGCTGTAGCCGTAGCAGTAGCAGCTGCAGTAGCAGAGGAGGAGTTGCAGAAGTAACAATGGTCGTAGTAGTGGTAGTGGTGGTAGCAGTAGCAGTAGCAGTGGCAGTGGCAGTAGCAGTAGCAGCAGTAGCAGTAGCAGTAGTAGTAGTAGTAGTAGTAGTAGTAGTAGTAGTAGTAGTAGTAGTAGTAGTAGTAGTAGTAGTAGTAGTAGTAGTAGTAGTAGTAGTAGTAGTAGTAAGTAGTAGTAGTAGTAGTAGTAGTAGTAGTAGTAGTAGTAGTAGTAGTAGTAGTAGTAGTAGTAGTAGTAGTAGTAGTAGTAGTAGTAGTAGTAGTAGTAGTAGTAGTAGTAGTAGTAGTAGTAGTAGTAGTAGTAGTAGTAGTAGTACAGTAGTCGCAGTAGCAGTAGTAGTAGTAGTAGTAGTAGTAGCAGCAGCAGCAGCAATAGTAGTAGCAGCTAGAAGCAGCTAATGGCAAGCAGTCGTTAGCAATAGGTCGTAGCACGTACTAGCAGGTAGTAAGTTAGTAGCCATTAGTAGTAGTGAGTAGTAGCAGTGGCAAGTAGTATGCAGTAATGTTGGCTTCATAATAATAACCCTCTAGGCAGCGGGGATTGATTATTGAGGTGGGGTCCCAGTTCTATGCTCGCTGACTGTCTCTGCGACTCTAGGAGGGCTGACGTAAGGGCCTCAAGTGTTGTTTTAGGTACCAGAGACTTACTGAGTTCCGGGGATCGGGTTTTATGAACGAGGGGGTGGTTATAATCTAGTTCTGGGGCTCGAGTTTGATATTTGAGAGCGGGGTTTCTACTGATGAAATCAACATCAAGCAGTAAGTAGTGAGTAGCAGGGCGAGTAAGGAGTAAGTAGTAAGTAGTAACTAGTAAGGAGTAGTAGTAGTTGTAGCAGCAGTAGCAGTAGCAGCAGCAGCAGTAGAAGTAGCAGTAGCAGTGGGAGTGGGGGTAGGAGTAGGAGTAGGGGTGGGAGTGGGAGTGGGAGTAGGAGTAATGGTAGTAGTAGTAGTAGTAGTAGTAGCAGTAGTAGTAGTAGTAGTAGTAGTAGCAGTAGAAGTAGTAGTAGAAGTGGTAGTCGTTTTGCAGGCGGTGGCGGCGGCGATCATGGTGGTGGTGTGGGGGTAGTAGTAGAAGTAGTAGTAGTAGCAGTAGCAGCAGTAGTAGTAGGAGCAGCAGCAGCAGCAGCAGTAGAAGCAGTAGTAGTAGTAGCAGCAGAGCAGAGCAGTAGCTAGCAGTCGCAGTGGCAGTCGCAGTGGCAGTAGCAGTGGCAGTGGCAGTGGCAATGGCAATAGCAATGGCAGTGGCAGTAGCAGCAGCAGGAGTAGTAGAAGTAGTGGTGGTAGTAGTAACAGTAGGAATCGTCGTAGGAGCAGCGGCAGGAGTAGTAGGAGTAGTAGTTTAGTAGCAACAAGAGGAGGAGGACGAGGAGGAGTAGCAGTGGCAGTGGCAGTGGCATTGGCAGTGGCAGTAGTAAAATTAGTAGCAGCAGCCACAGCATGAGTAGTAGTAGTAGTAGTAGTGGTAGTGGTAGTGGTAGTAGTGGTAGTGGTAGTAGTGGTAGTGGTAGTAGTAGTAGTGGAAGTGGTAGTAGTGGAAGTAGTAGTAGTAGTAGCAGCAGCAGTAGTAGTAGTAGTAGTAGTATTAGTAGTAGTAGTAGCAGTAGTGTTATTATTATGATTGTTAGTTGTTGTTGTTGTCGTGGTTGTGGTGGTGGTGCTGGTGGTTGTGGTTGTGGTGGTAGGTAGGTAGGTAGGAAGGTAGTAGCAGTCGTCGTAGTCGGAGGCGTGGTAGAGTGGCAGAGTCACAATCGGAGTCGCAGTGTCGTTGTGGCCGTAACACTGTAGTGGTCGTGTACCGTCGTATGTTATAGTACATGTATTGTATTATTTGTACATATGCATATATACACAATATGCCGATGGTAGAAATGTACAGAGGTACAGTTGTACAATAGAGCAACAGTGCAGCAGCACAACAATACAACTGTAAAGTGGCACGCTGGTGCAGTTAATTGTCAAACAGTCTAATAACATAGCAGTACCACTGTATACGATTTTGATTGCAAAGCAGTACACCAATATGACGGCACAATCGCATGATCTTGTAGTAGTACAAAGGCAGGCTTTAGGTCTAATCGCAGATTATTGGAGCTGTACAGTGGTAAATTGTGAGTACAACAGTACAACAGTGCGGCTATATTAACGGCACACTGGTGCAATGGCAATGTTATCGCAGTAGAACAGTCCTATGCTAGAGCAGTATGACAGTATAAAAGTATAAGAGTGTGACAGTATGACAGTACAATACTGTAGTAGGAATACAGTAATAGGAAGTGGCAATGGTACTGACAGTAGTCTTGCAATAGCAGTAGTAATAGGAACAGGAATAGGAACATGAATAGTGGTAGTAAGAGCAGCCCCAAAACTAAAAGAGCCCAAACCTTGAAATCCCTACACCCTAAACCCTAACACTCTGAATCCTCAAAACCGGCGAACCGTAACCCTTCACCCTAAACCTCTACAACCCGAAGCTTAGTGCCGAAGCCTCTTCAGACCCGACATGTCCAAAGGAGCGGCTCCGAAGAGAAGTGGAGGAAGAGCTCCGCCTTGAGGAGGCGGTTCTTGTTTTCGGTCATCGTTATTTAGGGTTTGGGATTTTACTTGGGATTTGGCAAGTCTGGTTTTAGTTTTTCAGGAAGGTAAGGCTCGCATGCATGTTTTAGGAGTCACAGTTGTAGGCATTTTGTCTGAAAAGCATTTTGGAGGATGTTGGTGGTTTATCTGCATATCAAGATGTGTATTTCTGGGTGTTTTCAGGGTGTCGGACGTCAGGTTTCTTTCGAGTTTTCGATTTGGGATGAATGAATAGCCCCGGCATGCCTCGGCTGGGTAAGTTTTTGCTACAGACGCCACAAGCCCTGAGTCCTCAACCCTCAAACCATATCCACAACGCCCCACGAGTACAACGTAACACTTCAACCGAGTGCGTCGACAACCCAGATGAGTTGGACGCTCGACAATGCAAGTTCGAGCCAGACATGGCGAAGCATGTTTCTCGCCAGATGGCCAAGGATGCAACCAACTGCCTCTCCCTGGATGTTGAAAGGGATCTGTGGCTTGCTGATTTTCTCCTTGCATATCTATATTATGCACAGGGGCATGCCCTCGCGTATATGCATATTCTTGAGTAGAGGTAACGAGGAGTACATGTGTACGTTTGCCTATACATTCTTTTGTCTACATATGTTTATGTCTTATTCACGCAAGTACTTTTCTGTATACCTCATCAGATGGAGCGACGTGTGGTGCATCCCCCAACCATGTTTCGTGGCCCTAGCCTCGTTTGCTCCGGGGTATGCGCGATCCTTCGCTGCAATATCAGGATTGGACCACCCGATGCCCAAATTCGAAAGACCCGCACATGCACACAAGAGTCCTGTGTCACCCCTTTCCTAGCGAGTTGGGATCTTGCAAGACATGACCCGCAAGTGCTTGTGAAATGGTACCAACAGCTGAATGTTTGGCACCACCCGCAGCAAGCATGTAAAGCCAAGCAAATGCCTTCACAATATGTTCGCGAATCTTTGCAAATTCCTCCTGAAGCAAAGACCAGCTGGAAGTCTTTAAGCATGGTGCCGGGTGACAAGCAGTCCGATGAAGCTTTGTAGTGTATCTCTGCATACATGTGTCCGTTTTTTTACCGTTTTGTTATCCCATCCTACGATGAGGGTTGCTAGGGTTGTCTTTCAACTTTCAGCACCGCCCCCCGGCCCCCCCGGCCCCCCCCGCCCCAGCCCTTCGAATTCAGACACGGGAGTCAGGCACGGCGCACGGCCGGGCCAAGCCATCGGCCCAAGTGGCGGCCGGAGTTCTTTTCGGAGGCCACGGCTTCAGTCTTAGGGTTTATGATCTACGGTTTGATGGTTTTCAGGCTTGAGCCTACAGGTTTAAGACTCGCAGGGTTGTTGTGATAGTCCCGCTGGTACGACGTCCTGAGGCCATATTTCACGTTTTTCTTGCAAGATTTAGGGGTTTGGTTGCTGCCGCTTGAACACTCTGATCCAGTGCCCTGTGCCCTGGCTTCAAATCTGGCAAACCGTGGACACGAATCCTAAATTCCCAAAATTTCGACAAGCCCGAAACCTGACCCTGGGCTTCAACACCGTCACGCCTTCCAGCAGTCTTTGGACTCCCCCACTTGAGGATAGACTTCGGGCTCTGGGCTTTGAGAGGTTTCGGACGTTCGGGGCATTTTGCACATGGGAGCTTGAGGGTTAGACCCGTAGCGGAGAATGGGGGTCATGGGCCAGGCTTCAGGCCTTCACTCACTTAGGCCCCACGAGCCTCGAACCTAAAGATACAACGTCTGAAATCCTATGCCCTAAGCGCCCAAACCCACAGCCTAAACCGCAAACGTTCTGCCGTTAACGTTTTTGTCCCATCTGTCTAGGTCCATCTCGACGAAGCCCCAAGGACCAAGGGGGCTCGGATGCGCAAGAAGCGTCACAAAAAGCTGCTGGGAGGATCTTGGGGTTTGGGGCTATAGGCTGTTTACGGTTGTTAAATTGATGGTGTCTGATCAGGGTTTCGAGGTTGTGGGTTCTCGGAGTGACTTGCTACTCTGCCGCAGATGTTCTAACGTCTCTTACGAATGATTTCCTTTGTTTTCTTAGAATGGCTTTTCTCTTTCGAGCGGATCCTCGTCTTTGCCACGACCTCCATTCTCGTTCGAACGGAATGCTGATCTTTCTAGTATTCTCTGGTTTCTTTCCAGTGGCTTACCCCTGTTCTCAAACGTTGAGCCTTCAGTTTGCTCTCCTTTTCAAGCTAGTCGTGTAGTCCCTTTCGGACGGCTTGTGACGGTTTCTCAAATTCTACAGTCTCTTTCTAACGCCCTGCTTCTCTTTGTCAATATGCATATGTTTCGATAATTTTGGCTCCGTCGCTTCAGATTCTCTAGTCTTTGTCGAGCGGTTGGCTACTTCTTCTCAACTTTTCTGGCTCTTTTCGAATCTAGGTTTTTGATCACGACGGATTAGAGTCTGGACCTTATTATGGTGTGGCCACGAATGCGCTCAACTGAGAACGGATTAGAGGTTGCGCCGTGGATGCCACACACTTGACGTTAGTACAGTGTGGCCATGGATGCGCTAAACGCAGAAGGGATTAAAGACCCAGGACGATACATGCTTTACAGAAGCACATGCACAATTATGTAGTTATCATGGTTGGGCCATGGAAACGCTGAACTCACAACAGTTTCAACCTGTAAATTCTGAACACGTGCCAGAAGCCCACGGCCCACGGTCATATTTGGATACGATAGCTGAAATGTCTCTCAACGCAGGGCCTCTCACAGGCGCCGTCCAGAACAAACCAGCCAGATTTGAGAATTTGAGGAGCAACGTTGTCGAAAAGGGAGTAGGTAGGAATTTTGAAAACCAGGAGAAAGCCGCAAGAGAAGGGGGTTTGAGAAGTGAGGCTTGTGCAGAAATGCGTGGGAAGCGGCCCGTACAGCCGAAAGGGTAGGTTCAGGGCACTGTTCTTGTACTGGCCGCCAGACCACCGTTCTGACAGGGCAGACTTTTCGTGATTCATCTGGTTTAGCCACCTCGAGAAGATTGTAGGGGCTGGACGTCAATAAGGTCGCAGACCCTCATCGTGCATGTCACGCCCAAAACTCTAAACCCTTTGCGCACGTGCTGTCGGCTCAGCTGCAGAGGTTGAGGGGCCCGAACCCCCAACCCCAAACCCTCAACTGAACCTGAAGTTGTTTGTTGGTAAGGGTCCTGGACCCTCAACTCTGAACCCTTAGCCCAACTCAGCCCCGAACCATGGATGGGGAGGATGTAGCCGCTGGAGCGACGCAAAAGTCACCAAGCGACGGCAAAGCACCTCCCTCTTGCCGAGACATTCCATCAAGCCCTTACCCTCAGTTTCAAACCCGAAGCTTTAAGACCTTAAACATGCTGAGCTTTACACCCCACACCTGAGCTCCATGAATCAAAGCTTGAGCCATTTGCCAGAGCTCGTGAGCGTTGCATGGTCACAATGGCGCTCCTGGCAGAGGTGAAGGCTCGGGCTGTGTTTGGACAGGGGTGCGGGGTCGAGGTGTAACTCAGTGCAATTCCGATTGCAGGTCACCCTCCATCTGAAATCCTAACACCTGGGGTTCTTGACAGTGTTGTGCTAGACCCTAAAACAGAGCAAGGAACCTCGGGGTTTCAGGCTCATAGCCTGGGCTGTGTAACGGACCAAGGCTTCAATTTTGTAGCTGTGTTAGGGTACGTAGGTGAGATGCTAGCAGGAGTGACACCCTGTATGCCTACTGTTCAGTGTTATGTAGTTCTGAAGCTCCCACACTGACAAGCTACAGGATGCTTGCCCTACCCCGACACCTCTCGTCTGACATGCTATGCTACAGCAAGCGCCGCGCCCCAAACCCGAAGCTCAAACCCTAAACCTGAAACCCCCAGAATCTATGCAAGAAAAAACTGATCAGTGAAACCTCGAAGCCCAGCACTCCGAGCCGGATCCCAATCCCCCAACAAGAGATGTTTAAACGGTCTTACAGGATATCATGGGGGTTTAGGGTTCTGCAAGCGTGGTGCGAGGGTGTTGTGGGAGTTTATCGGGTTTAGTGTTCGAACAGGGCACGGGTTTTGTGGAGGTATAGGTAAGGTCCTGAGAGCGGAGCGTTACAGATGCTAGGTTTCTTGCAAGCCTTGTCGATGAAGCCCACAAATGTCACAAATCACTGAAGCACTCTAGACTAAATTCTAACTCTAACCCCTCCCTACAATGCCTCGTAGCACCCTTGCAACCCCGTGTAGAGACTTTCAAGAAGCTCTAGTGCTTCCCCCTTCTCCACCACTAGGCACAGCAGGCCCTGTCGGGTGCAGGCACGGTGGCGCAGATTTCGTTACGTTCGGGTATTAGGTTTCAGTGCGCAGTTAAAGGCTCAGCTCGAGATGTTTTTCTTCAGCGTTTTTGCGGTTGCCGGCTGGTCAAGCATCCGGAGTGGTACTGTGCCTGAAGAACATTGAGCCAGAAAAACTGACCGTTTCATGGTACATCATTCCTGCGAAAACGTACTCAAATGTCCTGGGGTTGGAAAGCAAAAGCTGAATCGCGACGGCTTGGGGTTCGTGGTTTAGGACCTGGTTTTCCGGCGTGGGCTTCATCAGTGCTTTCGGACTTTGGTGCTTGATATTGGTATGGTTGGGCGTCGAGTTCCCGAGAACCCACTCGGAGAGATGCTTTATGGTATTTTGGAGGTGCTGTTGTAGAGGAAAAAGCAGGGGAACTGCATTGTGGCCGCAAACATCTAGTGAACCTTGCTTCAGACCAGAGTGCCAGGATTAGGAGCATCTTTGGCGGGATATATCTACAGCAGGACTCTTAGAGGAAATGCGCCTGCAAACGTAGCTGCCTTCCAGAAATATACATGCCGCCAGGGCGTACTATACGGTAGAGATAATGGTGATGATAGAACTAGCCTCGTAGTAGTGCAGTGGAAGTGGAAGTGGAAGTGGAAGTGGAAGTGGAAGTGAAGTAGAAGTAGCAGCAGCCACAGCCGCAGCCGCCGCGGTAGCGGCAGCGGTAGCGGTAGCGGTAACAGCAGCAGTAGCGGTAGCAGTAGCAGTAGCAGTTGCAGTTGCAGTAGCAGGAGGAGGGAGATGTGGCAGCAGCAGCAGCAGCAGCAGCAGCAGCAGTCGTAGCCCTCGTCGTAGTCGGAGTCGTGGTCGTGGTCGAGCTGTTGCTGGTTGTCGTGATGATGGTGGTGTTGGTGTTGTCGTGGTAGCGCTTTTACTGGTAGTGTTCGTGCTACGGGGTGCCAGTGACTCGTGCTAGTGCTGCTAGTGCTCATGCCTTGGCTGCTGCTAGTAGGGCTCGTGCCAGTTCTAGTAGTAGTGGTGGGTGGAGCGGGAGGAGGAGCGGGAGGGCAGCAGTAAGCTGCGGAGGGCAATTCTGAAACGTCGAGAGCAGAGATGCAGAAGCATCTAAACCTGCTCAAGCTAAGCTACACACCCCACATCATAGACCCCGAGCTTGGCAAGACCCTTTTACCTCTTCATGCTTGCTTGCACAGACTACCCGAGCGTCTACCTGCTGGAGCGATTCCGGTACCAGAGCCTGAACCAGGACCGACCCTAGCCGTTTCGTGGTAAACCCGGCTTTTTCGTTGTGAAACTGTGCATGCATGTTTGGCTGGGCTTCTTTGTGGGAGTTCAGTTGCTTCGGGTGCCAGGAGATGTCAGCCCAGGAATCAGATTGTAAGGGTACTTGGAAGGTCTACAGATAAGTAGCTTGAGCTCTTGAGCTTGACTAAATGTTCAAAGAGTCGCGAAAATTCCAATGCGCACAGAACCCGGCAGGCTCCATGAACAAGAAAACATTGTCAACAGCCTTACCCTAAAACTTAGATCGACATCGTGACTCAACCTTACACAACCCACCAGCCTAAACCTCACGTCCCCGATGCAGGCCTTCTATGTGAACCCGCAGATTCTGGTCTGCTGCCTGGCGGCATTTGGCACCAGCTGCGGGTTGCGCTCTTGTTGGTACTGCAGGTATGGTTTTTCTTCGTTATTACCGAAAATTCTCAGCTTATGGTGTCGAGAAGTTTAGAATGTTTAGGGTTCCAGAGCTCTACCTCCAGGGTCTTGGAAAGGTCCCACCTAGGATTGGGGTCGTCGCGCTGAATCTGCAGACGGTACTGACTACAGTTGTACCAACAGGATTGGCGAGATCCATTAGCAAACGCAGCAGCAGGAGCAAGTGTAACATAGTTATTTTCGTCATCATCATCGTCATCAATTACACCAACATCATCAACAACATCATCATCGCCTTCATCATCATCATCATCATCATCATCATCACCATCATCATCATCAACAGCACCATCATCATCATCATCAACATCATCATCATCACCATCATCATGATCACAGTCATCACCATCTTCACCATCTTCACCATCATCATCATCATCATCATCACCCTCATCACCATCATCATAACCACCACCATCATCACGATCATCGCCATCGTCATCATCGTCATCATTTTCAAAATCATCACAGCATGATTACCACAATCACCCTCAGCACCCCCAGCACCACGTCACCCCCAGCACCCCCACCACGCCCCAGCGCGCCGACCCACCCCCACCACCCCGAGCAGCAGCGGCAGCAGCAGTAGCGGCAGCGTTGCGGGTTGGGGGTTTCTGTTGTCATCATTCCCGCTCGTGCGTCTTTTGCTGTTCTTATGCTTATTGTGATGACTTCGCTCATGTCCCCTGGCAGTGATACTTTCTGCGGCCCCCTTCTTCTTGAACTCGGAATTCATGAACAGGTAAACCCTCAATCCCGCAGTGCGGAACCCGCAAACCCTTTAACATGCTTGGTGAATCTGAGGTCGATATCCCACCTACTGGGACAAGGACGGCAACCACTTCATGTGCCTCGAACGGGCCCTAAACCCTAAACTCAAACCCTAATCCGAAGCCAAGCCTCGGCCTTCAGAAATCAAGCATGCAGC